AGTAATTCTTCCGTCCTCTCCATTCCTCTGTAAGAGAAACATTCTGGGCCCCACCACAGCCTCAAGTCTGGCCCTATGGCCTGCTTCAGCTAACAGAATGTTTTGAGCAGTGGCTTGAAGAGGCACCACAAGCTTCCATGGGTCCTCTGAGCCCCTGACCTCCACCCTGAGAAAAACAGCACATCCCAGACAGTATTGGTATTCCTTCAGCCTGGGTCCTGGAATAAGCAGGCATGTTTGGGGCAGGCTAGAATTCAATCCACAGTTGCTACTTCAACTGTTCTGTCAGACGTGGGAGCAAGGAGAACAGCTGTCTGTTTCCAGAAGCCATTAGATTCTGTGCTCGTTTGTTACACAGAAATAATACCAAAAAACCTGACTAATACACATGCTTAACAAAGTTACTCTGGCATGCTAACGTGGCAGAGAGGAGCTCACACGAGATTTAGAGTCCGCCAGTCCCAGCTCTGACAAACTCCCAGATACATCACCCTGACTGAAAAAGCCTCTTGAACCCCCACCTTGCTGGATTCCTGTGACAATTAGAAACAGCACCCACAAAACTGCCCGCAGCACTGTGCCTGGCACATAATAGATACTTAGTAAATAAAAAATAATAATAATATAATGTGCAATAATGAACAGCAAAAATATCTCCCCAATCATCCATGACTAATGCGCTGAACTAGAAAGTGTCGATCCCAATTAAAATATTTCCTTAACCTCAGGTAAATAAAACAATGAAATCACTGCTCTAGTTTGCAGCTTACAAAGGACTCTAATAGAAAATCAGAGTTAAAAAACATACAATGTGTTCTTTCTAAACCTTCTAAAACTTGAGTCGTCAAGAATATGAATTCCTGTTGTGTCAAAGAATAAGAATGCATTCATTGTGAAGGAAAAATGATTAAATTGCATCTTCCAGACTAGTAATTTAAATTGTGATCAAATCCACTGTAGCTGGGGGCCTCCCAGTTAATCCATTTACTGTGAACATTATTAAACATTTATTAAATGCCTGTGCGTGGTAAAAAATTTCAAAGGTATGGTTTTGTTCACTGAGCACCAAAAAAAAAAAAAAAAAAAAGTCAGGAACATAAAACTACTAAATGGATCAACTAATCCTGGCATATGCAGTTTCACAAAACAGGAGCACTACAATTACCGAAGCACAGAAATAGATTTTTGATCCATCGGGAAGGCATTCAGAAAACTATCACCACTAATGAATAATAGAAGATTTATTTGGATTGTAAAACTTGACTAGGAAGGAAATTTATCTAAAATATGAGCTCAATTTCCTGCCTTTCAAAAGAATAAGGAAAAGGACTTTACAGAAAAGATACAATCTGGGAGACATTCTCTAAGGAGTCCAAGTAAATTCAGGGTAAGGTTTCCAAGGCACCTATTGAAAGAATGCTTGGAGGGCTTAAATGATGATCCCTGGGCTACTACCCAACACCTACTGAATCAGAATCTTGGGGGGACGGGCCCAGGAATCTGCATTTGTTAACAAACTCTCCAGCTGATTCATGTGCACTCCTAAATTTGAGAACCACTAGACAATGCAAGCCATTAAATAACCTTTGGCAGCTAACTTAAAGGTTCTTGAAAGACAAAAACCCAAACAAGTTTAGCCCATTCTATGCCAAAAGGACCAAGGAAGACAATAGAGTCTGGACTTGAGACTCTGTAACAGCTGCAGGGCTAAATAGCCATTCATTCTGCCAGTAGTTCAGGCCATGATTTTTAGCACTTGGAGGTAAAGAGCTGATGGATGCTTCAACAATAATGCAGATCCAACAGCACCATGGTGATGACTTCTTCTGTTGGACATAACATTGGCCAAAGTTCTCCTCAACCCCCACATCCCCCTGGCACACGTCCTGGCAATCACTCCTCATCGGTTTTCTGGGCTTGCGTTTTTCCCCTGGGAGAGGGGAGCAAGTAAGATGTTTAAGGATAGTATCATATGGAAATTCTGAACTTCATAAAAAATTTCAACATCCAGTCCCATAATGTACCTTTCCTATAATACAGAAAAAAACATAGTTATACTTTCTAAGAGAGCAGAAGAGTGATATGTAAAGGGGGTAAGAAACTGCTACAATAGAGGCACGTGGGTGGCTCAGTCAGTCAGGCGTCCGACTGCAGCTCAGGTGATGATCTCACGGTTTGTGAGTTCAAGCCCTGTGTAGGGGTCTATGCTGACAGCACATAGCCTGGAGCCTGCTTGGGATTCTGTCTCTCTCTCTCTCTCTCTCTCTCTGCCCCCCGCCCCCGTTCATGCTTGCACTCTCTTTCTCTCTCAAAAGCAAACATTAACAATTTTTTAAAAACAAATAAATAAATAAAACTGCTACAATAGTTTCAAAAATTAAAAATCCTCTGGGGAAGTAAAGCAGAATGTGTAGGAACACAAAAAAAGGAACACCAAGTTAGGAAGGAGGAGACAAGTAGGTTCTATATCCATCTATATCTTACTAATGGGTGTGTGACCTCCCACAACTCACTTAGCTAGTCTTTCACCCAAATGAGTTACTGTTTATTAGTGAGAGCATTTTAAGTAAAAAGACAATGTCAAAATGTAAGTAGCAATATTATCATCCATGGCAAAATTTATTTTATACAATCCAGCTAACGGAACAAAGTCAGAGCAGTGAGTTTTTTGTTTTCTGTTTTGTTTTGTTTTTTTTAACAGAGGCAAAGAATACCAGACTCTTGGAGTCAAAAATTATAAGGGAAGCTATGTCATCAGATGAAACAATACACACATTTTCTGAAATCACACCCAAGATGAGGACAAAATAACATGGCATGTGTAGGGAAAATCTAGGCCACTGTCACTATATTGCTCCAGCTCCTCTCTGCATCAAGCTACACCAAGGTGAAGTTTCCAAATACAAACAATTCAACGTGGCTGATACAGTCTTCTAGGGAGCAGTGGTTAATGATTCCACGCAACACCTTCCTGTCTGACCCACCTTACGCACCTCCCCCTGAGTCCCACTGATAAGCTTCTCTCACTGGAGAGCCACAAACAATGAGACTAAGAGTTTTGAAAAAGGAAGGGTGACTAACAGCCAGTGCCATCAGTCAATGAACCCCAGGTCGTAAGGACTTTGAAAACAGTTTAACACTTATCACCTAACAGAGTTCAGATCAACACCAAATTCAAGCGTATGTAGGAATGGGAGGAAGTCCATGCATGTCTTTAAATGGGAGATAGCTGGGGCGCCTGGGTGGCTTAGTCGGTTAAGCGTCTGACTTTCGCTTAGGTCATGATCTCGCGTTTCGTGGGTTCGAGCCCCGCACCGGGCTCTGTGCTGACTGCCAGCTCCGAGCCTGGAGCCTGTTTCAGAGTCTGTGACTCCCTCTCTCTCTGACCCTCCCCTGCTCACGCTGTCTCTCTCTCTCTCTCCTAGAAATAAATAAAACATTAAAAAAATAAATAAATAAAATAAATGGGAGATAGCATAGAATACTGCAGCTACTTACGGCTGAGTTTGAAACGAGGCTCTAAATCATCTATCTTCTCTGCATATCAGTTCACAAATTGACGATGATTAGTTGTACCTCATGGGGCAGTTGGGAGAATTAAATAAGACCATACGATAAAAGCCTTCATATAGGGTGGTGCCCACCATTAGTACTCCATGCAGTCATTGGTAGTAGTGCAAAGTATTACCACGGAGTAGACACTTGATAAAGATACTTCCCTTCCCTTCTCATTGTGTATTTCAAAAATGAAAATACATTCCAGTCGAATGAAAAGTGATACACCATAAAACAGAGTGTGTGGCTACATCAGAACACAATTTTCTGGACATTCACCTTCATTACGGCCATGGAGACCAATTTTACAATTTACACTGACCATAGTTAGAGCCCATGTATACAAAAATAACAGTTTAAATTTGTGATAGTACATTCAGTTTTGCAACTTCTATCCAATATTTAATACAATTTCTCAAATTCTTTTTCTATCACTATAATAACACCCTCCCACTATCTGTTCTAATCATCATTATCATTACTGGGAGCAAAGCACCCGGTGAGTATTGCAGAAAATGAGTTAATATATATAAATGTACCCTGAAAACTGTGAAGTGCTAATAGTACCATCTATGTGAGAATAGAGAAGACACAACCCCTGTCTTGAGGTGACTACAATCTGAAGAGCACTATAAAATGCACAGTGCTCATCATGGAACATAGACACATATGCACATGTCCGGGCACATGTACATTTAAAGATAAATAATGACAATAACAAGAACAGAAAATGTATGTGTGTGTGTGTGAATATAATAGGTGGGGGACAGTGAAAATATTGGGGCAATTTTGCCCCATATTTTAAAATGTCTCTATACATCAAGTCTCACAAATAAAATCTCAAAACCAATTTTTATGAGCAAAATCCACAGTATGTCCCCTCTAGCCGATCATGAAAACCCTGGCGGGAGCATACTACCATATATTAATTGAGTATCCACAGTAAATGCCTGTCGTTCAAAGGCCAGATGTGCCTGTGAAACATGAAAGGCCGAGCAACTGCTGCAATATCACTCCAGCAAAGCTCTACTAGACAGGAAAGACCAGGGTATAAGAGCCATCTGAAAATCCATTTCACACTTCTAATTTAAAGCCAATCCAAATGTAATTTACTTTATCAGGGCCTTTAATTTAGTGAAGGTCAGAAGTGCAATCAACAGAGGTGAAAATTACTTATGCTTCTCAAAAGATAAGCTGGTAATAGTGCTGAACAAGAAAAACAAAACACAGGGTTTCCCACTGAAAACCATGGTTGGAACCACTGTATAAACATGTCTTCTCACAAACCAATGCGTTCTGAGGTAAAGCTTTCGCTTGTGTCATCTCTGCACCGAATGCAGCCTCATTTGTCATTCTACTTCACCGTAAGAATATTCCTTCTCTTCTCCAATGTTACAATTCGTGAGGGGTAAAACAGTACTTCCGGCACAAAATATTAAACTTACCGCTCTCGTCATCTATACTGAACCGTCCAAGACCACTGCCATCCCTGATGGAGTACTGGATCTCTCCATCCCTCCCGGAGTCCTCATCTCGGGCCGCCACCTGCAGTACGCTTGTTCCCATGCGTGAGTTTTCTTTTACAGATCCAACAACAGCAAAGTCTGGGAAATAGGGAGTATGGAGGTTTTCGTTGACATCCACCACCTCCACCTCCACAAAGGAAACAGATGACAGAGAGACCGGTCGCCCTTTGTCTTTGGCCCGAACCGTGAGGTTGTAGAACTGCTGCTTCTCATAGTCCAGCTCCTTGCTCAAGCGAATGGCACCACTTGCTTTATCTATTTCAAATCTCCCATTATAGTCATTGACCAAAGAATAGCGCACTTGACCCCCTAGCCCAAGATCTGGATCATGGGTCTCCAGCCAGGCAATGACAGTGCCAACGGGGAGATCTTCAAGAACCTTCACACTATAGCTACTGGGAATGAAAGCCGGGGAACAGTCATTGACATCATCTAAAAAAACCTTGAGAGTGACAACCGAAAATAGCTGCTGGCCACTTTCTGCCTTGTCTCTGGCTTCTATTTTTAAAGAGTAGTTTGCTTTAGATTCCCGGTCCAACTGGTCAGCTACATAAACGATTCCAGTTGAGCTGTTGATAGCAAACTGCTGTGTATCTGTCAAGACTGAATAAGTCACTTCACCATTGGAACCCAAGTCTTTGTCTCTGGCTTCCACTTGAATAATCTCGGTACCAATACTTGAACTTTCAAGAATATTAACTGAATAGCTGTCCTGAAGAAAAATTGGGCTATTATCATTAGCGTCCTCCACATTGATGGTTAGCAACCTCCATGAGGATTTTTGTGGCTTACCTAAGTCATAGATGGTGATATTAAGGAGATAGAGGTCTGTGTGCTCTCGGTCCATAGGCAGAAGGACTTTAAGTTGCCCAGTCTCCATATCGATATTAAAGCAACTATCCGTATTCCCATCAGATATTGTAAATAGCACCTTTCCATTAAAGCCAGAGTCGGCATCATAGGCTTTGATCTTCAGGATGTTAGCACCAATGGGCAGATTCTCCTTCACAGCCACATCAGAAGGAAATGACTTGTCAAAATGCGGCCCTTGCCTATTAACTGAATAAAAGTCAAGAAATCCATCTTCCAGATTCAGTTTCCCATTTGCTTTTGCCTTTATGAGTAGCTTCTCTGCCAGCTTCTGAGCCACACGAGTTTCTCGGCAACTGAAGCTCTTTGAAGACACCTTCCCATGCAGGACTGAAATGTTAACAGACATGGGGTCTGCAAAATTCTCTCCATCGGTTGCTGTAATCCTGAGGGCAAAATTACCATTTTTGATGCCAGAATTCATCAGTGACTTTTTAAGCTGTAAAATACCAGAGTCTGGGTTTAAATAAAAGAAACCGAGTTCATTTCCAGAGATGATTTTGTACTTTACAAGTTCAAGTTCATCAATATCAATTGCTGAGACAGCTGTGATGTGACCCCCAACCGGAAAGTCATATGAAATAACTCCCTGGCAAGCCACTTTTTCAAAGAGAGGGCTGTTGTCATTGACATTTCCTATTCGAATGGTCACGTTTACTTCACTTTCATGGCGGTATGGCGAACCCCAGTCAGAGGCTCTTACGATGAACCTGTAGGTTTCTGGAGAGGATTCAAAATCCAATTCTTCAGTTGTGCTAATAACACCTGTAAACTGGTTAATGGCAAATGGTAACAGATTCAGACTGGCAATACTATAGGTGATGTACCCATTTTCCCCTTTATCCTTATCAGAAGCCGAAACCATCAGAACGCTTGTGCCCACCGGAACACTTTCATTCACAAAAGCATCATACAGCGGCTGCTGAAATTCTGGGGTGTGGTCATTCGCATCTTCTATGCCAACGGTAACTTGTGCTTTTAAATCTCCTTCCTTGTTTGTCACGCCCAGTTTATAAACCTCCTTCTTAACAGTATTCAGTGGCTGTGCTGTGACAATCAGACCTGACCGAGGATTAATTCTGAAGTACTGTGCATCCTCGCCAGGAGATAATTTGTATTCCACATCCAGCGGTTCGGGACTTAATTTTACTATAGCAACCACGACACCAGGAGGGGAAAATTCACTAATGCTCACATCATACATTTCTTTCTCAAACCTAACTGGGACACTGTCTCTTTGGGGGTTGGCAATGTGGACTATCCTTACTGATGAAAATTTCTGAGGTGACCCCTTGTCTTTTGCTTGTAGAGTGAGATTGTAGCCATAAGGAAAGCTCTCCCAGTCAACCTTCTTTCTCTCCTTAATCTTATACTCATTCATCCACTTGCCTTCCTTAGCCAGGAAGAACTGATCTAAAGGATCCCCAGCAACAATGGAAACAGACTCAATCTCTCCATTGGCCCCCTCGTCAAGGTCATCGACTGTCACCACTGCGTAGGTCGGCTCTCTGTCCAGGGAGAAAGGAATGTGAGTGACCACGTGGATAGTTGGGGCATGTTCATTTATACGTTCAATGTGAACATAAAGCTTCGCGGTACTGCTCACTCCATTGTTTCCGTAGAGCTTCATGCCCCGGTCCACAGCCAAAATTTCCAGATCATACCTATTCTTTTCATCATAATTTAACCGTCCGCTTAAAGAGATGACTCCACTTGTGGGGTGAACTGAAAAGAGGTCAACTTTGTTTTTAAAGTAGTAATAGAATTCTCCATTGGAGCCGATATCGGCATCTGTTGCTGTCACTTGGGCAACACTAGTCCTTAAAGGTGTGCTTTCTGCGATTGTAACGGAGTACGTTGTGGGTGAAAACAAAGGTCGCAGATCGTTCATATCTAAAACCTGTATGTTCACTTTGGTCCATGCTTCCAGATCCTCTCCTCTGACAGAACCTTTTACTATCAATAAATAATTGTCCTGAATTTCCCTGTTCAAAATGGCCGAATTGCCACCCTTAGTTCTTATTCTGAGGAAACAGAAGTCTGCTATAATGACTTCCTCTGCTTTGAAGAAGCCTTCCTCGTCTCCAGACACAATTCTGTACTTGACATCCCAGGACAGATCTATCAAGGTGATGCCCATTCTACCTTGGCTGTGGACGTAGGTCCTTGCTGCTGAGTTCTCATACACGGTAGCATTGTACACGGAGTGCGTGAAATGGAAGCCCAGGGGCCCGGTCCCCGGCAGCCCCTGGGAGACCGTGGCCAAAAGCTTGAGAAGCAAGAGGATGAGGCAAGAAGGAGGAGGCCGTGTACCCACACGGTATCCCATAGTTATATCCATCGTATCATACCTCCATCCTGGAAGCGGGGTGGGGAGAAAGAGAGAGAAAAGATAAATTAATCTACAGGAAAGTGGGAGAAGGTATAGGAATGCACTGTGGTGAAACAGTATTTTTAAAAACTTCATTATAAAGTTTTTTACCAAAACATCAATGCAGGAAAAGCATTAGAAACCTCATTGTACTAGGTTTTTGTACAATTACCATTGTACAAGGAATTCAAAATCACTAGGATTTAACCTGATGTTGTTTGGGTTTTTAAATCACTTTTATGCTGCTGCTCCAATTGTTCATTGGGACATTTCCTGCATTCTGAAGGTCACCTGAGAAATATGTACTAGAAGCCTTAAAAAATACGTTTACCTACCACTTAGAATTACCTTCTAGGCAATTATCCAGTGGATATAATTAAACGAGTGTACATTTAAAAGTACAGTTTAGGGGCACCTGAGTGGCTCAGTCGGTTAAGCATCCAACTCTTGGTTTCAGCTCAGGCCATGATCCCATGTTTTATCGGATTGGTCCCCGTGTCACATTCTGTGCTGACAGCACAGAGCTTGAGATTCTCTTCCTCCCTCTCTCTCTCTGCTCTTCCTCCACTCGCACATGTTCTCTCTGTCTCCCTGTCCCTCTCAAAATAAGTAAACATTAAAAAATACAGTGTAGTTTAAAAGGCAAAAGAACTGAAAAGACACTAACTGATTATCAATCAAATACTTTGTAGCGCATTCATAAAGTGAAATACGATGCAGCTATTAAAAATTATTTTTTAAAATATGTTTTCAAATATGGTAAGATGTATTGCTAAGTGGAAAAAAGACCATAAAACAGTATGTGTGAGGATACCTGGGTGGCTCAGTCAGTAAGCATCTGGCTCTTGATTTCAGCTCAGGTCATGATCTCATGGTTTGTGAGTTCAAGCCTCATGTCAGGCTCTGTGCTGGCAGAGTGAAGCCTGCCTGGGATTCTCTCTCTCCCTTTCTCTCCGCCCCTCCCCTGCTCTCTCTCCCTCTCAAAGTAAATAAATAAAATATTTAAAAAAAACAGTATATGTGATTATGATTCCATTATTACTTAAATACCTAAAGGCATAATTGCAAATTTACATTTCAAAAGAACTGAGATGCCTGGGTGACTCAGCTAAGCATCCAACTCTTGATTTCAAGCTCATCATCCCAGGGTCATGGGATTGAGCCCCAAATCAGGCTCCACACTAAGTGCGGGGCCTGCTTGGGATTCTCTCTCTCCCCCTCTCTCTGCCCTTGCCCTGGTCATGCTCTTTCTCTCTCTCAAAATAAATAAATAAACGTTAAAGAAATAAAAATAAAAAGGACTGTCTTGTGGAAGCTGGGGGTTATTTGTGTTTCTAATATTTTTCCAATTAACATTGCTCATCAATGGTTACATAATTACCTTTATAACTGAACTTTTAAAGAAATGCTTCTAAGGCATTATCATGTTTTGTTGTCCAGACTTCAAAACTGATCAAGATTTATACACAACCCAATACCATGAGGCTGATTAAAGAAAGCAGAGATGACAATAGCTAGGGAGGTACATGATCTGAGAGATATCCATGTGTGGACCGTGCTACCCAGAACACAGGGGGAAGATTTCATGCCAGGAAAATCTAAATTATAAGAGATTTATTTCTCAAAACTAATTTTAAAAATTACTTCCAATTCGTTTCATCAGTCACTATTATATTTTCATAGTTGCCACAGCTCCATGACCACGTAGATTAAGAGATAAAAACACTTTCCTATTTTAACCAATAAAATCTGTCAATTCTTTAAAATAGAGGGTGGATAAAAGGACTAATTTCACAAGGAACAGCTAAATCTTTTTACACTCCGACAGCTTGGGTTTTTTAGAATCCCCCAATTTGGAGTTCTTCCACCAAGAAACAGCCACTGTGGGACCCTCTCATTCTCCTCTGTAGGGAATGTGGAAATAAGAAGCGACAGGAAACGAACCCTTTTGTACACTCTCTGACTTAGGCACTGTATCAGGCATTTCCCCACTTTGTTGCATTTAATCTTTACAACAGCCCTAAGCGACAGCTTCAGTTTTACCCACCTATGTGTTAGGAAACTGCAAGTTAGAGAAGTTAACCTGCATGGTGGGAGCACTGGCCCAATCAATGCTTCCCAGCTGGTACGGAGCAGAGCAGGGTCCCAAACTCTGGTTTTTCTTACTCCTAAAATGCGTGCTTTTTCCCGTCACATCATCATTCTCTCTAAATCACCAAGAATTAAGGCCCTCTAGAAACACATATGATAATTTAAATCAGTTGAACTAGTCACCGTTCATTATTGATGGAAAAGCATGAAACCCATTTAGCGTCTATATTTGTTATCTCCTTTCTAAACTAGTTACAATTACCGGCTAGCTATCAGCTGAAAAATAGCCCACGGACATTTAACATCTTAAACTCTTATATTGTGTAGTGTAGTTTATAGAACACTTTCCTACCCAGGGTTGGCAAGGCACATGTTATCATACCCTTTTAGTAGAAGAGAAATGTCCAACTTCATTTTCCTGGTACCAGAGTCTGGATTAGAACCCAAGCCCTCTCCACACTCCCACAAGGCTTTCTCATCTCTTTTCCAACCCTGTCTTACAGAAGACTCTAACGCAAATTTCTGGGCACGCGTTTGCCTGGCTCTGGCTGAGGATGAGATATGATCTCCTGCTGTCACCTGCTGAAGCAACTAAGGAAAGAGAGTAGCAAGGAGAAAGAGTGCAGTTTAATATAGGGGTTTCATAAGCAGAACAGACAGTACAAATGAAAAGTAGAAAAACAAGGCAACTTTTTATAAAAGGAGGGAAGTTAATTTCATATGCAGTTGCTTTGGCTGTCCGTCCTTAGGATATGGCTCACGTGCTAAATATGAGAAGCAGGAGCTTGGATGCTGGAGGCTGAAATGCGGTACCCAGGAGAACGGAGAGCCCCCCAGGGCCAGTGCAATTAGAACTGCCTCTTGGTGGAGCACACTCAGCTGACACATGGGAGTGACAGAGCCCTCTTTAGGTCTCACAGATATAAACCAGAAGAAGCTTTATTAATACTCCATATCACTCCATAGACTCTTTATTTCATCACTGGAGAATGCTCCAAAGTAGAGGAGGTATTTTTAGGTTCACTAGGGACATAATGGAAGGAAATAAGGCTGTTCTAGGAAATGATCTAAGGCCACGTATAGTCTCGCAAACTAGAAAACTGGGTTTACTCCCAGCATCTCCAGGGAAATACAAATTCCGTTTCTGCCTCATTTCCCCCTCGCTAGTCTATGCTGAGGGCACACCTTTTGCAGATACTTTGCCCATGGAGTCTGGACTCTGTGATCAGCAGGGAAGAAAACAGCCCTGAAGGTAAATTCAGCTCAAATCAACTTTTCTTAGTCCACCCCTCACCACCATTTTAAACCCTGACTGCAGAGACAAGCTGCATTTGTGCATCGATCTATTAACAGCACCCAGTACAGTACATACCACGGAGGAGGGACACAGCACTGGTTTGCCGAGCAGAACATTAAGGTGCTGATGTAACCAGAGGCCCAGAGGTCTTTAATGTGGTCAGTTTCCAAATCCCAAAAAATAGGCACATCTTACTTTGGGAAACAGAATCAAGAAATTATATGAACTCAAAGAAGATCATCTGATTTGATCTCCTGAGTTAACCGAGACCCAGAAAGATGAAGAGATTGACTAATCCAGGTCTCAGGACTCCCAGGTTCAGAGCTCATCCCAAATGCAAACATGTGTCAATTGAATTAGTTTTTCTTTGAGTTATGTAACAATCTTAGGGCTGGGGTTTATCATCACTTTGCAGTGATATCTGTCTTCTGACACCTTATTAATTTCCCTGGTGCTACTCCCTCCTCTAAGTAGTTAACTGTAAATAAACATTTAAGTGCCCTGGGGGACAGTTACTTCTACAAATCCTTCTGGTAAATCCTCCGAAGCACAGAATGCTGTCATAACATGAAAAACACATCATTCAATTTCACTGTTCGAAAATTGGTACTTTTGCATACTGAGTTTTTCTTTCAGCTACAATGTTTTCCTTACAAAACAGGATCAGTGGTCTTAAATGTGAATAGGAAATACTACAAGCCACACTGAAATGGAACAGTATCACTGCGTGCAGAAATCTGGAGTGAACTCTAAAAACCTGAGCAGGACTAAGCTTGTCAGCTTCAGTTGTTGAAACCAAAATAGGTCATCAAGGTTTGGGTATCTTTATTCCTGGAAAAAAAAAATCTGGCACCAACTAATTTAAAAAATCTACAGTTTTCTGGAAACCTGGATGGCTCAGTCGATTAAGTGTCCATCTCTTGACTTCAGTTCAGGTTATGACCTCACAGTTCATGATATCTAGCCCCGTGTCTGATCTGGCTCTGCATGGAGAATGCGGGGCCTGCTTGAGAGTCTCCTCCCCTTCCCCTCTCTGCCCCTCCCCCACTCATGCTCTCTGTCTCAAAATAAATAAACATTTTTTAAAACCTGCAGTTTTCTCCATGGATTTAGACAATAAACAAAGACTAAAAGTGAGGAATTCTGTAAAATTCTGAAAAGTAAACACCAGAATAAGATTCTGGCTTTTTTTTTTTTTAAGCATGCTAAGAAAACTGTTAAACTGGGGCGCCTGAGTGGCTTAAGTCGGTTAAGCGTCCGACTTTCGCTTAGGTCATGATCTCGCGGTTCGTGGGTTTGAGCCCCACGTCAGGCTCTGTGCTGACTGCCAGCTCAGAGTCTGGAGCCTGTTTCAGTCTGTGACTCCCTCTCTCTCTGACCCTCCCCTGCTCACGCTGTCTCTCTCTCCTAGAAAAAAAAAGAAAAGAAAGAAAAAAAAACATTAAAAAAAAAAACTATTACGCTGCTTAAAAAAAAATAGTATGTTCCACACTGAAGCCAAGCTATTTGCAAAGCCAATATGATAGTTACAGTGTTTTAGATGCTCTGCACATTGATTTATCCTGCTTCTGGATTATTTTAA